ATTAGGGGGGGAGCGAGGCAACGGACCAATTGGTAGGGCTTGAGCTAGGACTCCTATGAGGCAGGCCTATTTGGAGGAAAACGGAGAACGCCCAACCCGTCGAGCCCTACGCGGCCCTGCCTCGCCGCAGCGGAACCGCTCGGCCCGCCGCCTGCGCCGCTCCGCCTCCTGGGGGGGGGGCGCGGTCGGGACCGTGAGTGAACTGCGTAAGAATGTTTTGAAGAGCTGCGCAACAGGCTCCAGCATCTGAGTATCGCTTAACCGATCCCCATCCCCACCAGCGTGGGCTGGGCCCCACAGGCCGATTTACCCCCCTAAATATGGATATAAGTCGTTCCCTTTTGGGTTTCGCGGGGTGTATCCCCAACCGGGGTGGTAATTTGGTGGGGGTCTCGAAGGGGATGGGGATGGGGATGGGGATTGGCTAAACGATACCGACATGAGTGAACTGTGTAAGAACGTTTTTAAGGGCTGCGCAACAGGCTCCAGCATCGGGGGCGACTGGCCGTACAGAGGGCTGGTTGCGAGCTGGTCCCCTGGGCCATCAAACTGCACCGCCTGCGCCGTTTCGGTATGCCATATCGAGGCCGTGGAGCCACTGTGCTCAGGGGGAAGGCGGGATGATGCACGTCTATAGACCAAGATTGGGCAATCCGAGACCTCCTGGCCAACTTCTGCCACTCGTGGCTCTTTTCGCCCCCCGCTGCAGAACGCTCTGACTCTGCGACTTGCGCTGGCTGTGCAGGGGCAAAGCGAGGTGTGGGAAAATCGTGGGGATACCGAGGGGGAGCTGGTGGGCTCTGGATCCAAGCCCGATCGCATGTCACCCGTTCTGGCGGGTCTGTCAAGAGCCGTCAAAGGCAAAAGAGGAAACAACACTGATCACAATAGTGCCATCATCAACATGTTTACGTACATACAGCTTGGGCACCTTGAGATGGTGCAGCAAGACTGCGTGAAACTGGCAATCATCGGCTTGGCGAAGGAACCTCAGCAACAGTACACGTGGTAGGGTGGGGCAGGCAAGGCACATACATGACAGGCAATTCCAAGTAGTGGCATGTGGAATAAGATCAGCTACTGACATGTAACACTGTGTCAAGCGAGGTACATTAATCATGGCGACACGGGAGATGGGTGCATTCTCTGTATCGCTGTATGAGTGCACCGCATTGTTGCGAGACATCTAGGCGACGAGCCCAGGGGGGAAATGAGAAGGAGAAGGCCTTCTCAGAAGGCCGCGGGACTTCTTAGAAGTCCGGGGGGCTTCTGAGACGTTTCCTTGGTCTATTTCGAATACAGACAGAACTTCTCAGAAGCCCTCTCAGAAGTCCAGAAACTTCTCAGAAGCCTCGGAAGTCCCGCCCCTTCTCATTTCCCCCCCGCGCCCGCCGCCGACATCAGCTACCACTAAGCAAAGTGGCAGGATGCCAAGCAAAACATTAAACATGAGCTGGGGTGGCCTACGTTTGACACAATGCAGCGCGAGGTAAACTGGGGTAGTCACGCCTGGCAGATCTATGCCAACGCAGTGCAACACTGCGCAGGAATGATTTGGGTATGTCCGGCAAGGAGAGGGAGGATGATGAGCAGGGGATGACGGGAGGAGGTGGTGGAGGGGACCAGGTGCGAGCTGTAGCCAGCGCGCGGAAGGGAAGCGAGTCCGCGGGGCCACGACGGGGCGACACTCAAGTGCGGGATCTGAGTTCCAGGCCTCATCCGGGCCATGTCGGAAATGATTGAACTCGTCGTCGTCGCCGTCAGGAATATGACTGCTCGCATCACCAAGCACATGGCCAAAAGAGATAAGACCGTCCTGCTCATGACGAGCGCTAAGCAGGAGTACAACATCACCGGTTGCCATCAAAATCCGAAAGAGGAGGAAGAGGAGGAGGAGGAGGATGAGGAGGAGGGGAGGACCAGTGTAAACCCAAGACTGATCAACGATATTGCAACCTCCAAGTTCCCTCTTCATAAGCCCCTACAAGGATTCATTTTCACTGAAGGAAGTGCCCCATTTGAAGACAACCGTCTGAAAACCCTGCGCTGTGCCAGAACACCAGTCCTGGGACTTCATCGACTCGAATCAGCACTACTGTTGCGTCTTGACGAGCCTGAATCGTGCTAGAATGTGATTCCTGGGACTTCGACACCGCGAATCAATGTAACTGTTGCGCCCTGACAGCCCGACATCGTGCCAAAACACCGTTTCTGGGTCGTTAGCCATGAGAATCCGGGAAAGTGCTGTGAACTGATAAAACGAATGTGCGCGGCGCTAAAAGCGAGAGCCACCTTTTGAGAAGGAGCCGCCGTCCATCCGTGAAGCTGCTGCAATGGATTAAAGCAAATGCACGCGGCGCTAAGAGCGAGAGACACGTATTGGAAAGAGGTCCCACCCTCCATCCGTGAAGCTCTTGCAAACTGCTTAAGACTAGTGTGCGAGGCGCTCAGGCAAGAAACGCATGTTGAAAGCGGCCCGCCTGAAAATCAGCGAAGCTCTTGCAATCTTTTAAGACGAATGAGTGTAACGCTGAAGCGAGAGCCACATTCTGGAAACGGTCTGCCCTCCATCCGTGAAGCTCTCGCAACGTGTCAGAAATAATGTGCGCGACAATAGAGCGAGAACCGCATTTTGGAAAAAGGGCCGCCCTCCGTCCGTGAAGCTCCTGCAATTGTTAAAAACGGATGTGCGCGGCGCTTAGGCGAGAACCACGTTGAACAACGGCACGCCCTCCATCCGTGGAGCTCTCGCAATGTGTCAGAATGAATGTGCGCGCGGCGCGAAGGCGAAAACCACATGTTGAAAACGGCCCGCCCTCCATCCGTAAAGCTCTTGCAATACTCAAGCCGAATGTGCGCGGCGCGAAGACGAGAACCAAATTTTGAAAACGACCCACCCTATATCCCTGACACGGCTGCAATCTTTTAACACGACTGCGCACGGCGCGAAAGCAATAATCACATGTTGAAAACGACCCGTCTTCCATCCGTGAAGCTCTTGCAAACTGTTTAAGACTAGTGTGCGCGGCGCTCAGGCAAGAAACACATGTTAAAAACGGCCCGCCCTCAATCGGTGAAGCTCTTGAAACTTTTCAGCTTACGGATCGTAAGCGGTGAGGAACTCTCAGGCACACCGCTCAGCCAACCCTACCGACACGCCTCGGGGTGAAGGGACGGAGGAGGAGGAGGAGGAGGAGGAGGAGGAGGAGGAGGAGGAGGAGGAGGAGGAGGAGGAGGAGGAGGAGGAGGGGAAGGAGGTGGTGGAGGTGGAGGAGGAGGTGGAGGGGAGGAGGAGAGGAGGGAGGAGGGAGGAGGAGGAGGAGAGGGGAGGAGGAGGAGGAAGAGGAAGAGGAGGAGGGGGTGGAGGAGGAGGTGGAGGATGAGGAGGAGGAAAAGGTGGAGGAGGAAGTGGAGGAGGAGGACAAGGAAGCGGTGGAGGTGGTGGATGAGGAGGTGGAGGTGGAAGAAGAAGAGGAGGAGGAGGAGGAGGAAGAGGGGGAGGAGGAGGAGGTGGAGAAGGAGGAGGTGGATCTCGCTTCCTCCCCCCTCCTCTAACCTGCACGGCCTGTTTGGCGGCCAGGCAGGCCGTGACTGTAGGTTAGACCTGCACGGCCTTCCAGGCCGGCCTTCCTGCGGCCTGGCAGCCCTGCCTGGAAAGCCCTTGGGCCGTCGCGCCTCCGGGGCCCGACTCGGCGCGCCGCCCTGGCGGGGCCAAGGCGCCAGCGGTGCACGGCCGTCAGCCGGGCAGGGATGGGGCGGGAACGACTTGAGCGATAACCTGGGGAAACGACTTGGAGCGTGAACGTCCTGGGCGGGAACGACTTGGGCGGGATGGGGCGGGAACGACTTGGTCTGGAACGACAGGGCAAGGCACGACTTGTGCGGGGTGGGGCGGGAAGGGATGGGGCGGGAACGAATTGAGATGGGGCTAGGGGGAGTGCTCTCAAAACCTGCCTCAGCGAACACTTTGGGGGAATACCCGTACGATCGGAAACTTTTAGATACTGTGTCGCCCCAATGGCACGCTATGCCGTGCCAGCGGGTAGCGTGTCGCTCAGCTCCGCGGAGCGGGAAGCTCGGATAGGCTCAGGATCGACGCCTGGGGGCCGGAAAGTGGATAGCGTGTCGCACCGAAGCGTGGTGGGCCAGAACTGGCGGAGCGACATGCTATCCAAAAATAACCTTCAGAGGCCCCCGCCCAAAATCTCACCTAAACACAGGGCGGCGGAGATGTGGCGCCAGCCAGCTGGAATATCACATGGTATTTTCCTGACACGTGAACACGATGCCGCCGAGGCGGCGGCTAGATTCGACCGTGGCGGCCACCCTGAGGTCGAGGGTGCCGCCGTCTTTGTCCCCGCATAATTGTGATGAGGAGCGTGGGCGGAGAAAAGAAAAAAGGGAAGGGAAGGAGGGAGAACTTGAGCGGAAAACACAAAACGCACGCTGTGCTGCTTAGGACGGCCCCACATGCTCTCTGACGCCGCCCTGGCCCCCACCCCCCAGCCGACCGATTAGAGGGCGGGGGGAGAGGAAGGTGAGAAGGACGGGGGCCCGAAAAAATCATTGTATGCTACAACACACATTTAGAGCCCCCCCCAAAAATCTCACCTAAACGCAGGGCGGCGGAGATGTGGCGCCAGCCAGCTGGAATATCACATGGTATTTTCCTGACACGTGAACACGATGCCGCCGAGGCGGCGGCTAGATTCGACCGTGGCGGCCACCCTGAGGTCGAGGGTGCCGCCGTCTTTGTCCCAGACCACCGCTTGTCTGGCGACAACGCCTGGATGGCGGGGCGTGCGGGGCCAGGGTGGGCGGGGAATCCGACGCCGCGCCAGCCGCCCCCAAAAATTTCTCACGTCCAGGACTCACCACGAGCATTGAACGATTCTCATTCGCAGCAACACGCCGGGTGGTTCTTCCGATTTCTTTCACCCGGAAACACCACTTGTGCCCCCGACGTGCTGTCACTCTCTGGCCTTGGGTGGGCGGGCCACCTTCTTCTTGAGCAGCTCCGCGCCTCGCTCCAGCACTTCAGGCGGCAGAGCGGCGCGGGACGCTACCAGGGCGTGGGTCTTCATGTAGCGCAGCACACTCTTCTCGGAAGCCCAGCGCCCACGCCTCTGGATCGCCCACGCACTCCGGTAGCCAGTCGACGCAACGTGGTTTGGTCCAGAGTGTCGAGCTGCATGCCGAGGAAAGCTGGCCACGCCGATGTCGTTACAGGCGCGCCGCAAGGCGCGGCGGTACGCGTCCACCGAGCAGTTAAAGACCCGGTCGGACAACGCCCTCTCCATCTTCCTCCGGACGAGCATCTCGGCCACGTGCTGGCGGTCGATGAGCACGCCCTGCCTGATGCCCGTCTTGGTCCTCTCTCTGCACTCCGCGACTCCGAGGTTGATCGCCACCACCTGCTTGCCCTCCGCGTCCACGTCGATCACGATGTCTGCCGCGCGCAGGCCGAACAGCTCCGCCGACCTGAGATAGGCGTCGAGGGCGAGCATCGCAGCGTCGGCTGCCTCGATGTTGCCGGCCAGTCTCATAGCTTCGTCCAGCACTGCCCACAACTCCAGCGGCTGAGGTCCCCCCTCACCCGCCACGTGCAGACGATGCCAAGCTCGGAGGGCACGGTTGGATCTTGGCAGGCCCGTCGACAACTCTGGCCACACGTAGGCCCGCCCGTGCACCATGAAGTCCCCACGGTGCGGGCCCGCCTCCTCGTCCTCGACTAGACGGTCCAAATAGCACAGGACCGAACCGTCGATCTCCTCTCGGCTCATCATGGGCAAGTTCAGCTCCTGAGCAAACTTCAGGAAGCGGCGCGCGTTCGGCACGTAGCATCCCAGAGCCGTCTTTGTGGAGACCGAAAGAGGCAACAAAGCCAGCCCGTGCGTGCCCCCACTCGTAGTAGGTCTGCCAGGAGAGTGAGACCGCTCCGCTTCATTCCTGCGATGCGCGTGGCCCATCTTGCGGTGTGACGCGTGGTGCCGAAGTCGCTCCTCCGCCGCGGCCGTCGATGTAGTGGGAAGCAGCGTGCGCGCCAGTGCCCGCATCCAGACCGAAGACGGAGGGCGCGCCAGTCGGGCGCGTGAGCCGGAACAGCTCCTCCATGTGCCAACGCCCTCTTCGAGTGCTCCTGCGGCCCGAGGGGCGGCTCGCTCGATCAACCCGGCGCCTCGAGGAACGCCGCGGGCAGGACCTCCAGTGTAGACGCATCCCGGCGCCTGCGCTGCAAGGTCTCCGCGATCAGCTGCTCCGTGGCCCTCTCGGTGAGATCGGCCTCCCGTCGCTCCTGCATGGCCAGCATGGCGTCCACGTGACACCTCGCTAGCATCTCGCAGAGCTCGGACGAGTACGCCGGCGTGGCCCTCGTCCGAAAGCGCCCCCGCGCGTCCTTGCCACAGAGACTCGAACTGTGCTGCGAATGCTCGCACGGGCGCACGAATCTCTCCATCTGGCTGGCGGCGCCCGTGAGGGTCGTCTTCTTGAGAGCAGCGCAGCCCCGCATGCACTGCGGAAACGTGACGCGGTAGGCGCCCACCTCGACCTCCCAATCCATCAACTCCTTCGTTATGAAGATCGACGGGAAGGGCGGGCACCCGGGATCGGCAGGATGTTCGATCGAAACCGAGCCCCCCCTCGCACCTATGGGCTTCAGGATCCTCAGGCTGCTCACCAGCTGCGCGTTCCCGAGCCTCACCTTCCTCGCATCGTCCGCTCGTAGACCTAGCAGACCCCGCAACTGATGTCGTAGACGGAGGGGAGGCGGGCCACCTGGCTGGAACCGAACCCGAGACCACGTCGAACACGACGGGCCCGAGTGTCCACCGTCCGTCTCCGTCTCTGCCAGCAGCTCCAGCCGTCGAACGTTCACCTCGTCCGTCAAGTCGAACGTCGCCCCGAAGCCGATGCCCACGTTGGTGCAGATCAGCAGGTAACCCCATGCTCACGATAATAAACACTAGGGGATAATAAAGTTCGGGGTTCAGGGGGAGATAATCAAAGTAGCCCACCAGACCTCAGCATAATCTCGAAGTAAGAGATGATCAAGAGGAGACCAAACCGAACACGTTTTGAGACATCCTTGGCGTTTAGTCTTCATTAACATATCCTCAACAATGGCTTATCTCGCTGGAGACATCCTCGACAAATCCCTTGTTTCGCTTGAGACATCCACAAAATATTGCTTATTTCGCTTGAGACACCGTCAAACTATTGCTTATTTCGCTTGAGACATCCTCGAAATAATTGTGTTTTTCGCTTGAAACATCATCAAACTATTGCTGATTTCGCCTGAACATCCTGAAACTATTGCGTATTTCGCTTGAGACATCCTGAAACTATTGCTTATTTCGCTTGAGACACCGTCAAACTATTGCTTATTTCGCTTGAGACATCCTCGAAATAATTGTGTTTTTTATTCTCGAAGGTCTCATTGTCTGGTTCTGCTCTCTGAGCAGCCATCTGCTTGAGCAGCTCTGCTTCAGCAGCTCACCTTGAGCAGAGAGAGATAGTGAGAGAAAGAGGAGAGAGGGAGGGAGGGAGAGAGAGAGAGAGAGAGAGGTGAGACTCTCTCTCTCTCTCTCTCCCGCCGTGCGCTCCTCTGAGGTTTATTATCGTCGGCAGTTTTTTTTTTTTTTTATCATCGGCTGAGGTTTATTATCGTCGGCAGTTTTTTATCATCGGCAGTGGTCAATCGCAACTCCTGAGCTCTCCCGGAAGACGGCGGCACGCAAATGATACGCATTTTTTGAAAAACTTCATTTTGAAAAAAAAAACTTTTAATTGCGAATTCCATTGTAATCCTTTCAAAATTGCGAAATCGAGCCGTCAGGCGCTTGAATGCCACATTGCGTTCGAGATTTAAGCACGCGACGCATTTATGAGAAATTTGCGTCGCACGCGCTTTTGCCCGAATATCGAACGCAGTGTGGCATTCAGGCGCGTGCGGGTTCGAATTCGCAATTTCGAAAGGATTTCAATGGAATTCGCAACCAAATATAGTATTTTTTGTCAAAATAAGGTTTTTCAAAAAAATGCGTGTCATGAGAAAATTGCGTCGCACACGCTTTCGCCTAAATCTCGAACGCAGTGCGGCATTCAAGCGCCTGACGGCTCGATTTCGCAAATTCGAAAAGATTTCAATGGAATTCGCAATTAAATAAAATATATTTTTTTCAAAATGAAGTTTTTCAAAAACATGCGTATCATTTGCGTGCCGCCGTGTTCCCGGAGAGCTCAGGAGTTGCTATCGACCACTGCCGATGATAAAAAACTGCCGACGATAATAAACCTCAAGAGGTTGTGCTGAGGGGTTGTGCTGCAGGGTTGTGCTGCAGGGTTGTGCTGGAGGGTTGTGCTGGAGGGTTGTGCTGAGGGTTGTGCTGGAGGGTTGTGCTGGAGGGTTGTGCTGGAGGGTTGTGCTGGAGGGTTGTGCTGGAGAGAGAGAGAGAAGGAACAAAAAAAGAAGATACAACAAATCTAGATTTTTAAAAAATAAGAAAGATATAGCACATTTCGCAGACAATATAACAACAAAATCTTATATAAAGAAGAAAGTAATAAGAAGAAGAAGAATAATAATAAGAGAAGATATATAGAAAGAAAGACAGATAGAGGAGGAGGAGGAAAAGCAAACATTCAAGTTTCAAATCCATCAAATTTGATTTAGAAACGCTTTATGAAAATTGAGAAAGAGAGAGAGAGAGAGAGAGAGAGAGAGAGAGAGAGAGAGAAGAAGAGGAGATAATGAAAAGCAAGAGAGGAAGGAGAGGAGGAGAGGAAAGGAGAAGACAGGAGAGGAGCAGGAGGAGAGAGAGATAGAGAAACAGAGAGAGAAAAAAGACAGAGAGGAAATCATAAAAAAACCTATCAGATTTTCCATGGGTAATCAACCCCAGGGATAAACAAGTTCAGGGGGGCATGGGGGGGAGAGAGACAGAGAGATAGAAAGAGAGAGAGAGAAGAAATAATGAAAATGAAGAGGAGAAGAAAAATTCAAGAGGAGAAGTAGAAGAGGAGAGGAAGAGGAAAAGCAAAAAATTTCAAGTTCCAAATCTATTATATTTTATTTACAAACGCTTTATGATTGTTTTAAAAAAGCTCGTGTAGGAGCTCATGTGCCTCACTTTCCGTGGATAATCAACCCCAGGGATAAACAAGTTCAGGGGCGCATGGGGAGAGAGAAAGATATAAAGAGAGAAATAAAGAAAACAAAGAGAGAGTTGAGGGAAATACATAAAAGAAATATTAAAAAGGAAAAGGACAAGAAGAAATGAGGAGGAGAAGTAGAAGAGGAGAGGAAAGGAGGATAAAACAAAAAATCTGAAGATTCAAATGTATTATTTTTTATTTACAAACGCTTTATGAAAATTAAATTTTAAGTGCTCGTGTAGGGTAGCTCATGTGCCTCACTTTCCGTGGATAATCAACCCCAGGGATAAACAAGTTCAGGGGGGCATGGGGAGAGAGAGGAAAAAAAGAAAGAAATAAATAAATAAATAAAGAAATAAAGAATATAAATTAAGACAAAAGAAGGAGAAGAGAAGAGGAAGAAAAAGAGCAAACATTTCAAGTTCCAAATCTATTAGATTTAATTTACAAGCGCTTTCTGAAAATTGATTTTTTTGAGTGCTCGTGTAGGGTAGCTCATGTGCCTCACTTGCCATGGATAATCAACACCAGGGATAAACAAGTTCAGGGGGGCATGGGGAGAGAGAGGAAAAAAATAAAGAAATAATATATATATATATAAAGAAATAAAAATACAAATTAAGAAAAAAGAAGGAGAAGAGAAGAGGAATAAAAAGAGCAATCCTCGAGTATATGCTTGTTTCGCTTGAGACATCCTCGACAAGCTTCTCGAATCGCTTGAGACATCCTCGCAGAATTGCTGGTTTCCCTTGAGACATCCTTGAAACATTGCTCGTTTCGTTTGAGCCTGCCTCCCAAAATTCTTGGTTTCGCTTGAGACATCCTCACATAATTTGTGTTTTCGCTTGAGACATCCTTAAGAAACGTATCGTTTCGCTTGAGACATCCTTCAGTATATGCTTGTTTCGCTTGAGACATCCTCGAGTATATGCTTGTTTCGCTTGAGACATCCTCGACAAGCTTCTCGAATCGCTCGAGACATCCTCGAGTATATGCTTGTTTCGCTTGAGACATCCTCGACAAGCTTCTCGGATCGCTTGAGACATCCTCACAGATCGCTTGAGACATCCTTGAAACATTGCTCGTTTCGTTTGAGCCTGCCTCCCAAAATTATTGGTTTCGCTTGAGACATCCTGAAAAAGTGTGATCGATTCGCTTGATGTTGCTATTTCAACATAACTTGATCTTGTTATCTCGACATAAAGTTCCATTGCTCGTTTCGTTTGAGCCTGCCTCCCAAAATTATTGGTTTCGCTTGAGACATCCTGAAAAAGTGTGATCGATTCGCTTGATGTTGCTATTTCAACATAACTTGATCTTGTTATCTCGACATAAAGTTCCGAGGTGATAATGAAGTTTGGCCTCCGCGCCCCGCGCCCCCGACCAAACTCTTATTGGTCGACGATAAAAAACTCTAACGACTTAAGGGGGGGGGGGGTGCATTATTATCGTGGGCATGGGGTTGGCCTCTCGCCGCCGCGATCCTGATCAGCCAGTCCTCCAGGTCCCCGGCACGCGTGTGCCCACTGCAGATGCATGAAGCGCAGCACCTTCACGGGCACTGATATTCCCATTCTGAGCGGCTGGAACGGGTCGATCTCCGCCACATCCGCGAGGGCCTCGATCTTCTGGGGCACCTTCTCCGGCAACGCCTGCTCGGCCATCCGCCGTTCCTTGGGGGCTTGTCCGATCGGGAACCCTCGGCTCGGCCCGTCGCTGTGGTTCCGATCCGAAGGTACCCAGCGCCAGTACTCGCGCATGCCGCGCCCGAGGTCGAGGGCGGCCATCCGCCGGCAAAGGATCAAGATAGGCCGACTGGCGGACCTGCCCTTGCTGAAGCCGCCAAGGCAGACCATCGAGTCGGTGATCCGCAGGTGCCTCCTCCCCCAGCTTGCGCGACTGCGAGCAGAGTGCCTCGCCGCCGCCACGCTCGTGCGCATCTCGAGCAGGTTGATGTGCTCCTTCTCCTCCCAGCGCCAACGCGCGACCTCCTTCCAGCTGGTAATGTCGCCCCAACACGCGTGCACGGGAGGTGCTCGCACCCGCGTGCCCAGCTCCACCTCGTCGCCCACGCGCCTGAAGGCCTCGCCCTCGCACCGCGAGCCGGCAGCCCGAGGAAGAAATGCCAGTCCAGACTGTCCAGCCACCTCGCACAGCATGGCGGGCTTCCCAGCGCTGCTGCTCCACCGAAGCCATCGTGGAAATGATGGCTCCTCCTTGCAAGCTGCCATCGAACATCATCACCGTGGGGTCCCAGGGCGTCGCCAAATCGACTGACGCCACCGGTGTGATGGCCGCCGCGGTCGCCAGCTCCCTCAACGCCTCCGTCGGCACTTCGCGTCGAGCTCCACCCCGGAACTCCATGCACCAGGCGTAGACCTCCGAGAAGATGCTCGGCGCGCCCCGGCGGATCAAGAAGCCCCAAGACATAATGCCAACGACGCGAACGATTGAGTCGGGCAGCTCCCACCTGCTGATCAGGATCTCCTGGATGCCGAGCACCGCTAGCCACATCTTGTCCTGGTTCGGCGCCAGCCGTGTGCCCTGGAAATCGCCCCCAATCATGCGGGCAGCTTCCGAGCACGCATCCTTGTGCACCTGAAAACCGGCAGCCACCGCCAGCGCCTTGGCCCCCAGCCATATGTCCTCCACCGTCGTCACCTCCACCTGACCCGGCACCACTGGGAAATCGAGCCCAATGATCCCGAAGTCGTCGATGTACTCGTAATGCGCCGCGGGCACCTCCCGACTGAGGTGTGAAAGAGGACCCCCCTCGGCTAGCCGCTGACCTTCGGATAAGGAGCTCGAGCCAGCCTGCGGGCCAGCATTGAAAATGTCCTCCATGGTCGTCTGGGCCATCCAGCACGCCCATGAGAACCCCATCAACGTCGTCTTCACCCCGACGTAGGGCCCACTCCCCGGAAGCAGGGAGGTCTCCGGGAGGAGTGCGTCCAGCTCGTCTCCACCGACCCCCGGCAGCACGAAGTAGGGCGCCAACTCTTCCCCCAGCTCGAGCGTGTAGCAGAAGTCGGGCAGGTCCCCGGTGCCGAAACGAATGGCCACCCCGTCCTCCTTCATCTCCTCCGACACATCCAACAACGACATGGCGCTCACTCCCCCCATGGCGCACCACGGTGGGGACCGCCATCGGGTGTAGGCGCGCCTCTGGTCGAACACCAAACGGAGTGTAACCTCGGGCTCGCCCCCGACCATCTCGGCTTTCTTTGCCGCGCAAAAGAGCCCGACCTCGCCCACTTTGTCGGCGGTCCGGCAGAGCATGCCCGCCGAGGCCATCCTCCGGACAAGCTGCATCATCTCCTTCCTTTTCCGAAAGTGCGGGTCCACGTAGTTGCGCACCTCGCAGGCCTGAGCGCAGGCGCCGCCATCCTCTCTCAACGTCACATCCTTGAACTTCTCCAACTTTTGTGCCGCGCGAGGCGACGCGCCCCCCCCATTCGCAGGTCTGGCCCCCCTGGGGGGGGGGATAGAGCAACTGTCCCACTGAGCGGGGAACGTATCGCCCCTGTCTGGCAGCCGCGCACTTCCGCCAACACTCCCCCTCCGAAGTTCGGCCAACCTCTGCTTGAACGTCGACCGGGACTGGTTGCCCGCCGCCGAAGCGGCAAGGCGCAGCCGCAGGATCGCGGCTCCTTGGCAGGGCGTCGTCGACGGCGGTCGTGGGCGACGAACCTCCTCCAGCACGCGCCGTGAGAGGTCCCCGTCCAGGTTGTCTGGCATCGGCCCCTGCCCCCGGCACTCGGCCAGCTCCAGCAGGCTGTCGTCCAGACTCCAATGGTAGAGTTGTCGCAGCGCCAAGAGGGAACGATTCGTTCGCCCGAGCATCTCCACCTCCTCTCTCCAGCGCGCCAGCGCCCGACGAGACGTAGAACTGGGGCGCTCCGGACGCTGGAACAGCACCGCCTCGGACAGGACGCCCCGCCGCCGAGACGTAGAAACCCCAATTCGGCGTGGTGCACAAGGTCACGTGGCCACCGACGAGGATCATGCACGTCAGCAGCAGAAAAAAAAATACGACGGCCAAAAGGTGCGGAGACGGAGGCAGACGCCCGACACCGCTGCACGAACCACCCGACGACGCGCCAGGCAGCCCAATTCGAAGTTCCCCAAGCGTCACGGCGCTGCTGCCGCTCCTCCGTCAAGGTCGCTGCGCGCCTTGAACAGCTGCGCGTCCCGACCCATGGCCTTCTTCATCTCTTCCTCGGCGCTCATCACCCGAATCGTAC